GAAAAATCTCGGAAAAATAAAAAATTTTTTTTTGTTGTTTATTATTAGCAATGTTCTTCCGACGTTTGATTTCTTTTTAAAAAATGCATTTCTAAAGTGCATAAACATTTGGGATTGACTGTATAGCCAATACATCCTTAAAACGTCGATTAAATCCGATTAATCGAATAATATTGATTCAAACAATTGTTTCTCTGTGTCCTGTTAAAAGGGAGAAAACTTGTTTATTGTCAGTAACAAGTTTTCCTCGGCGGACGTGTGATCGTCGCCTACAGTTCATTAACTGTTTGCCCAATTTCGTGAATCACGCCGAGAGAAGTACGTATATCACGCGGCAGCTGCACGCTTCCCGTATCGATTCCCGTGTATCTCGTCGCGTCAGCCGTTTCGTTGGAACTAGAAAGCGCGGTGACTCGTTGCTCTATGCACGTTGTGCACTGGCGAACGACACGTACTAGGCGCACCGTGTACGACTTCCTGGTAATAAATTACCGTGAATCAGGCCCGCCGGCACCGCCGCGTGCATTGTTTCGCGAAACAAACAGAAACCGCCAGCTGTGCCCAAATGAGAAAATTACGGCCGCCCTTTCGTACGCTCCCAACTGAATTTGTTCGTCTGTCAAATTGATGAATTAAGAGACGCCCGTGCGCAGTAAACGAATAAGGAAATAAAATCATTAGACTGAAACTCGTGACATCCGATTTTCTCGCTCGATTCAACTCTTATTGTTTTATCGAGAAAATTTCATTTTCTCAGAGCCTGTGAAAAGCTCCGAGGCAACGTTTCAACGACTGGCAAACACTCAATTTGCCGATCATCGATAGCGGCATTCATCGGTGCTCTACGAATCTCCTATCTATCGTTGCGCAACAGTAATTTCCATACTCAGCTCGCAACGCGTTCAAACACTCCAAGGCGTCACGATCATCGCTGGGGGATACGTTTATGCATTTATGGAGAATTTATGCATGCAGAAAAATAATAGACTGTGTGACTCGTACAGTGGCCGACAAAACGTATGTACGAGCGTTTCTCATTCACCAAATTAAATGAAATACTAAGGTAAAGGAGGTAGTACTGGGACAAAACGAATTTTGGAACCAGTACTTGGACATAATAGATATGTATTTAATAATTTACTGTCCAAGTTTACAATCCCTTTTGAAACTTAATAAATAAAAAATTTATGTTCAAAAGTGTCCAGGTACTACCTCCTTTACCATAATCAGAAATCTGTCGAGACTTAATATAAATACATAGTGAAAATTTACATTGTCGTTTTAACGAAACCTAAGTTTATCCCACACGATCCTTGCGTATTTTGCTTTCATTGTATTTCGTCCTCGCATACCGACACATCGCAAGTACCCAGGCTTGACGTAATGACATACCTCGTCGTTTCGCGGCGGCAGTCTGTTCTCCAGAAGCACCTCGAGGCGTTTCATGCACTCTCCTTCGACACCCTTGGCCACCGCCTCTCGACGGTTCGCGCCGTCGTCGAGGACGTCCTCGCCGTTCCTCGAGTTCCTCTTGACGATCTTCTTCGCCAGAGCCAATTCCAACAGTTCTTCCCACTCGACGATGTCCACGATCGGTTTCGGTTTCGATTTCCCGTTCTTCCGATTCCACTTCTGATTCTTCAACGACGGATTCTTCAATCCGAGGATCTTCAAATCTCTCGGTGGCTTGTCCCTCGGTTGCCTCTGCTCGATCTCGGCGGTGATCCGTCGCCACTTCCGTTCCTGAGGCGTCCTTATCACGCTGCTATCGTCCCAACCTTCCTCCATCCTCTTAAAGGATTTCGTTTCTCTTTCAGTTGATTCGTAACAGATTTCGTTCGCAACATGATCGCACGCGATAACGATTTTATAAAGAACAAATGAGAGACAATTAAGGATGTATTGGCTATACAGTCAATCCCAAAAGTTTATGCACTTTAGAAATGCATTTTTTAAAAAGAAATCAGACGTCGGAAGAACATTGCTAATAATAAACAACAAAACAAAATTTTCGATTTTTCCGAGATTTTTCCAAGGGGTACCCCTTCAATTTCTTCCAAATTTTCGTTTTTGGCCAATAACTCCCAAACCGTTGGACATAC